TGTAAGAATGTTTGCAATAATGGCCTCTAATACTGAGATATTGAGAAGCAGGTAAAATGAGGCTGAAATCGAAGCTGGTTCATTTTGGCTGAAGACCTGCGAAGCTGCTTGGACTTCCAGCAGTCGGAAACATAATCTGCAGTTGATGCTTACCCATCTATATGAAGAACATCCAGTCGGATAGATACACACAGAAACTTGTCTGCAAAAACCATTGATTTTTTTTCACCGTGTGGGATGAGGGTGTGGGTGTTCTGTTTTTCAGTCTGTGTAAGGAACTGTGTGCGTGTGAGCTGGGGTGTGTGCATACATGACAGTCCTATTTTCAAGGCGTGGCTGTGTGGTGATGCTGTCTCAGAGCATGCCTGAAAGAGCACTGCAAGATTATTTTTGAAGAAATTTTATTTTATTAGATATAACTCTTCACAGTGTGTAAATGTTAGAACATTTTAATAATATTTTAAAACTGGGCTTTCCCAGTATTTCAAAAAGAAATAATATATCTGTTAACGTTATTGGAATGCTGCTCAGTTCTCTGATCAGTGCTTATGTTACGATTGTTGATAACTAACCAAAGTAGATGCCTGCAGAGACTTTAAAATGTAAAATAAAGATGTCTGCTGCCCGTCAGCTGTTCTCATTAGAAAGTTAACTTATTTTACTCCATAATTATTATAGAAACTGTATAGATTAAAACTAGTATTTTTTTCTTGTACATTTGTGCAATGCACTGTTACACAAGACTAGGTGTACAAAGCTGAAGAAAAAATTGTGGTCATTGATGGTAGAATATATGACTTGTAGGCTCTGAAGTCTACCGAATTCAAGAAGAGAGATGCAAAAGCATTTTTATACGTTCATTCAGGACTCAGATATTTCACCCTAAAGGAACCTGCAGCTCTGGGGGGAAATGAAAGCAAGCCTGAAGACTGACTACCAAAACATGCAATACACTTACTCACTAAGTCTGTAGCATAACATGAACTGGATTCTCTGACCTTTTTTAAATAGCATTTTGTAAAAGAAATGAATGTAGTCCCACAATTCCTCTGATATGAAAGGAACACCTTGTATTTTTTATATGCATCTCTTATCCACTGTGACTTTTCTTTTAAACTGGGCTCTGTGATTGCAGAGTTTAGAATGTAGGAATGAAATGCTTAGCTCTGCCTTCTCTTGGGGGTGTGGACCCTGCCAGAAATGTAATTATGCTCAAGTGCATTATTGAAGGCACTGTGCGCCCCGTTGGACTGCTGACTGTAGTTATGTTACCTACAAAATTCCATAACTGCTCGCGGCACATTCATAATCACTGTATTTTTTGACCCTGATAAAAAGAAATTATTTTGATGGTGTTCTGGTACTGTAAATGGCGTCCTTTAAATTATTTAATAACATTTGGGTGTGGGGCAGGAAGGGGGCGGCGTCCCGAGGCACGCCGCCTTTTACACCCTGTCTCACCGTCCCCTATTTTTCCTCACCCTCCTTCTATCCTTTTTGTTAAAAATAAAAAAACATTGTAGTTGTTGGTTTGTGTTGTATTTTAAGAAAGGATGAATGATTAGTGTGCATCATTTAGAAATTTTTTCAAATTACCCTCATTACTCTTAAATATAATTTTCTGTAAAAGGCGGAGGGCAAAATTAGTTGACTACACAAATCAAACCTTTCAAGCAGTTGAAATGTGCTTTTCATATTTATTTGTATGTAGCTAAGTCTGTTAATAATGTAATGAAAATGGACACACCTGCAAAGGCCAAGATGCATTAGCCATTAGGACTGTCCTCTTGCAAAAGGGTTTTCCTCAAACCTGTACTTCTTTGCTCATAACCCTCTAAATCCAAAGTTTGCACTTATTGAAAATATCAAATGCTTACCTTACTAAACACCTTATTTAGTTCCTATCAAGGCCTAGTTTTTGCTCATACAAACTTTTATTTAGCCTAATACATTTATCATTTTTAAATAGTTTGTAAAATAACACCAAAAGAGAAGGAGAGATCTGGAATTTCCCTCAGGCTGCTTCTAAAATAGAAGGCCGAAGTGTTTTGACACAATGTAGAAAATATTTTCTACTCCTAGCAATAGAAAGTAACAGGAACGTTACAGCCTACAACCCGCCTTAAACTTAGAAAGTGATCAACACGTTCTCGGGGGACAGACTCACCGATTCGGAGTGAGCGGGTCCTTGAGGGCTGCTCATCCACCACGCCAGCATAATCTAAGCGGGAGGAAGTAAGACGGTCGAATCAATGTGATTAGGATAGTGTTTTATGACTTTTTGAAAATTTTCAAAATAAGCCACTATCACTCTAGCAAATGTAGGAAACAGGAAGAAAGTTAGAATCACTTCTCGTCACCGAGAGAGAAGCATAATCTGGAGTATGTCCTTCTAGTCTCCCAACCTCTTGCTCAAAAAAATTCATCTTATAAATTTCAGATTGTACACATACAGCTCCACAGCGCCTCCTCATTGCTAGAATGTTATCACTGTAACTCTAATGAAAAAGATGCTTTGTGCTACTTTGCTCTATGTCTGAATTCCCATTAGGTAAAACATACCATATTTTGCTATGTATAATGCGCTCCTGTGTATAATGCACCCCCACGTTTTTGGCCCAAACTTTCAGGGAAAATCTTCTGTTTTAATTTTTTAATTCAATTTTTTATTTATTTATATTTAGAAACAAAACCAATTGTCATATTCCAGGGTATTATTTTGCATACGGATATTGTTAACTGCTTTGCTTTCTAGAGTTAACACTTTTAACACATAAGCATAAATAATTAAAAACATTTATATAGATAAGGAATTAGTACTACCTACATATAATGTGCATCCTTATTTTTCCCTTGAAAATTTGGGCAAAAGTGTGCGCGTTATACATGGCAAAATACAGTAGTTTGATCTTTGCTTTCCTCAACTATAAAATAGGGTTAGCTGCTCTTAGGAAAATTAATGGTAAAGTATTAAAAATGTAACTACCCATGTTAGTAGCCAGTGAATTTCTCTCTTAGGATCCACTGCAGTTACCTGTCTACTGTTCTCTCGTTCATTCAGCAAATGCCTGTGTGCCTCTTAAACATCGCTTGCATGCCGTGAGCCAAATGAGTCTCCTGTCCCTGGCCTCAGCCAAATCAGTAGCAGGTGTTAGAATGAAACATCACCTCACCAGCACCTAGAGTGACTGTCACTCGTTACTCGGACTCCCCCTCCCCCCCATGACCACCAATTGACCTGCTCTGGGCAGGCCTCCTCACTGGTTTAAAGGCACCCGCTGTAGCCGGAGTGAATGTCACCGTGCCCCACCATAGCTTTAAAACCTTTCAACAGAGTCTCACTGAGGACGGGTACCTGAGCAAGTCCCAAAGTCTTCCCAGTCTGAGCCTACCAGTCTCGCCTGCTGCTGCGCACATCCCTGCCCCTCCGCAAGGCTCCGCCACTGTGGCCTCCTGGTTTGCTGGCCTTTGCACGTATTAGCTCAACCTAGAAAATTCCTCCTTCCCTGCTTCGCTTAATTCATCCAAACTTCAGCACAGCTGAAGTCTTTTTTTTTTTTAAGCAAGCCCTTCCTAACCTGCCCAAGTCAGATCTATTACAATTAACTAGCTCTTCCGTGTTAACATGGCAGAACTTCCATTTTATTTTATTGTTCTTAATGCAGGAATGAGTGGCCATCTACCCTCCATGCTAGAAGCTCCACGAGGGCAGAAGCCACACCAAGGTTTTTCTGCATGAGAGTAAAGCCGACTCCATTGCTGGTTTTCACGCTTCAATTCCCTAAGTAACACCTGGGGTACCTGTTAAATGCTTTGCTTAGGATTCGACAGAGGTCCTGGCCTAGGAACCTGCATTTTCACAAAGCACCTGCCTAGGCCCATAAGGGTGCAGAGGGCCTTTTCCCATTGCCCTAAGGGCTCTAGAGACCGCAGACTCATTTTAGGGTTTTATTCCTTGCATTTGTCTACACACAAGCACCCCAGACGTTCACAGACTTTGTATGGCCTCCGTAAGGTAGTAAGGGTTAGCCTAAAGGGGCTGCTTAGACAATTGGGAAGAGGCACAATAAGCACCTGGTCCCTGTTATGTGATTTCTGTAACTGGGAAGTCAATAGCCGTCAGCTCCGATATCATTGGAACCCGGAGGCTCAGGCTGAAAGGACCACCCTCAGCCAGGAGAGCTCTGGGGGCCCGGCCTGTTTTCTTGGGACTCGGGTAGGAAGCTCTTCGGTGCCCTTGGAAGAGTCCTTAGGTTAGATGCGGGCAGTTTTAGAACTGCAAGTCAACAAAGACAAAGGTTACAGTTGTCTTTGTCAACTGTAAGTACACGTAGGAGGCCGATTTTTAAAGGGCTCCCACCTTTAAGTCCATTTAACAGTTACCTAACATCTTAAAGAAGCTGCCCTAGCAACCCCGTTCCGAGCGCCAGCTGTGGAATTGTGGCTAACAACTCGGTTTTGCTCACAGCATGCCACGCGGCCCAGGAGTTTGTCACCTACTAGGCTGAGGTCGCAGATGCACTGATGTTCTCACCCGCAGCCAGCCAGCCACTCAGGGTCACCCCCAGCTGTCGCACACACCAAGGATGGCTCTGATTCCACCCGCTTCAGGAGCATGCTCATTTTAGTGATTCACTGGCTTCCCTTTGTTCCATTCATATCTTGTTTATAAGCTTCCCACAGACCTGCAGAAGCAGTGAATCTCACATCCGGGCCCTCTAAATTTCTCCTCAGCCACTAATACACCACAGAGCCTGAGTGCTCCACATGCAGTGAACGGATATTAATAAAGATAAAGTGACAGGCCCAGACTGTTAGCACAGACAAGCTTTCCTAAACCCTTATTTTTAAAAAAAAAAAACAAGATTTTTATGCCATTGTTTTGCAATACTTTTATTTAAAGGCTTTGTCAAAAAACACAGCCTTTCAGGAGAAGGGGCTTGAGAAAAAGCTCACTTGTCCACTCCACCAGCACACGTTCAGCGGAACCGGCTTTGTGCACTCATTTAAATGATATATTTGAAGCTGAAAGTGCTGTCACAAGACAGGCGTTTGCCTTTGCATCTCCCACACAAATCTTGGCGATGGGGCCGTTTAGGGTCAATGTGGCGGAGTTTGACTGAGCAGGAGCATCTAGTCTGTTTACAACTCTGAAAAATCAAAGTGAGAAACACATTCAAAAGGTAAACCCTTGGTCATTTCCTAGAATTTCAAAAAGGTTCTCAGTCCATTCAAACTGAATGCACCCTGAGCCAGGCCATGCGCTAATCTCGTCGTCTTCATCCCTGTAGCAATGACAGGGTTATGAAGAGAGGGGGTTTAACCATTTGTCATGGTCCCACGTTGCACAGGAATTGCACTGTTTCTTTTGAAAGAATTTTCTTACAGGATATCTTTTCCTGCACTCGATGAAAAAACAAGCAAGCAGGGAAGAGGCGTTAAATAAATGTATTGCAAAACAAGGAAAGCAAATGTGTGAGGCTAGTGGCTAGTAGCAGGCTGTAAGTCAGGCCCGGCACCAGCGACCTTGTACCTCTACCCACCCCACCCCCAACCTACGGCAAATGACCTCAAGCTGAGGCCAAAGGTGAAGCAGCAGCTGCTGAGCCCACAGAAGGGTGGCTAAGCATCCCACTTTAAGACCTCACCCTACTCTGCCATGATCTGTGGGAGTCTAAATAGTCTTCCATACTTAGTTTCCCCCTGACCACCCTATGGTGATAATGCTTTCCCCATCCAACTTAGTCAAAGGCACTGAGTAGGCCGTCTTAACCGGTGCGCCGGGCTCCAGTAGCTGTGTGATAATTGGCGAGTTTAGTCACCTCTTCCCTCTTAGATTATCTTAGCCCCTCAGCACAGCGCAGTGCTTCAGTAAGAGCAAATAAGCAATGTTACCACTTCACCCTGTAAAGCTCAGCAACTTAGATTTCAAAACAAATCATTCTCCTTTTGCAAAGTCTCATGCAAGACTGAACTTTAAAACCCCGCGCTTATATTAAGTAGTTCAACTTGGTTGTATGCTTCCCAAAAATAAAACTGGGGCAAAATAAGTAACCGTTACCACCTCATGTTAGTAGAACAGCATCTTATTTTTAGCTTGCCTTCTCAAATTAGACTAAGCGCCAGGTGAGGCAAACATTCTTCCATATTGCAAGTGAGGCACTGGTCTCTAAAATGTCAACATGAACAAGGTCTGCAAGGGCAGAAGGAAACTCCCACGGAGGGAGTGTCTCCCAGTTGAGTGTTATTTCCAAACTCCTGCCAAAAGGTTGTCAAATCCTGGAGGTCACTGGGAACCTAGCATATTTTAGGAAATACATTCAACAAACTACACCAAAACCCTCTACCACTACCCGGGTCAGACACAAAATGAAACATTCCACTTACTTGACAGGTAATATCCTCCACTCGGTAAGGGTTGTAAGACTTCTGACAAGTTCTGCAAAACTGCTTAAAGTAAACCTGTGATGAGAGAGGAAAACCTTAAAACAAAACCTTCTTGACACTTTTGTCAAAAAGATGCCAGTCCCGTGGTACTTCTTACCTTGTTAGTGCCCTGTACACACCACACATAGGCACTTTCCCACCGGATGTTGCAGTCCTTGCAGTGATAGTAGCCATATTTCTGTTCCAAGAACTGAACAAAAGGATACCACAGTTTAACCAACATGACATCTGAATTGTCATCCTTCATGTCAGAAGCTGGGGAGGATCTATTTGCTCCTTAAAACTGGCAACTTCCTTCAGATCATGGAGGAAAGAAGTAGGGTCAGTTCGAATTAGTCTCTACATGGGAGTAATTAAGTGAGCTAATAGCTTAATTAAGCAGATAAGCAAGCATGGGCCCCCCAAAGTATATGCCAGATTAACTTGGTTCATAACGCAAATTAACTGACAGATTACCGAGCAGGTGTTTCCCCTCAAACAGGCAAGGGAAAAGCCAAACATCAAGGTTCTGCAGGGAGGCCTTTTCTGTCAGGAAAAGTCTGACTTGAGAACACACACATGTGGCAGTCGTTACGCTGAAGAAAATCCATAAGACTCTGCATCCGGAAATATTTTAAGGTGTTCACTCAAAATTAAGTAAGTTCTCTGCACTGCGAGTTAAATTTCCACCAAACAAAGGAGCTAGGAATCTACATGGTGGCTAAGCCGTAATTCATGCGGACCGTGACCTGAAGCAGGTTTGCCACATTATGAAGCTGTCTTCTCTCCCAGTGAGAAGCCAGGTGTAAACAAGTTCGTGGAGTTAGGCCTTTAGAACTGAAAGGAGCTCAGGTGAGCACTCAGAACAATTTCACAGGTGAGCAAGTCCAGGAACGTTAAGAATGAAGACAGCGCAGAGCTTCGGTGTAGCTTCCTGCTCCACGCCTCCTCCCCACCGCCCGGGGTCCGCTGTGGAAGAGACCGAAGGCCTCTTTCCAGCCTCTTAGTAACCGCCCACGCCTTCCCACTCCTTGGATCACAGCTGCCCCCGGTGTAATCCAGCCCTCTGGGGTTCAGCTGGTGCGAACGGGCCCTCCGCGCCTGTCATACACGACAGGCCAAATACTTGGGCAGCATTACGTTTGAGTAGAGGTGCTTTCTAGGAGTAAAGAAACATCCTGAGAGAGGCACTACAGTACCCCTGGCTTCCAGTAGGAGGTTTGAAAACCCAGACAAGACTCAGTTAGGGGTGAGCTGACCAGCACCCCAGTAATCGACCGTTGGGGCTTTTGCCCCATTAAGTGCGGAAAAGTGAGTGGGAATTTTGGGAATCAACTCTCCTGCCAACAAGTCCACCTTCTGATGTTCAGCTGGGCACCCATCCTAGATCACCCAAATCCTCAATCAACACTGGACTGCGTGCCCACGATCAGAGGTCAGACAGCAAATATGCTCAGAATACGAATGTTAAAGGGCGTCTCCCTCGCCAAACGTGGTGCTGGTATTTTGCAATCGCCATAATCAAGTTACAATTGATTTTACTGTTGGAGAAGGATGGCACGTGCTGCCGTCGGCGGCTGCAGAAAGGCAGAGACGTCCCCTCGCGCCCAAGGGAGCCCTGTGCCTCCACCCGTCCGGAGCAGGGCAGGGACCCGAACCTGGAGGCGGCGCACACCCCGAGGACCCCCTGCGACCCTGGGCAGTTCCCGGGCCGGCTCGGGCCTCACCTGGAAGCGCAGGCGCTCCTTGCCCGGCTCCGGGCTCCGCAGAGACGGCCTCGCGCCCTCGGCGCCCCGTGCCGGCGGCGGCTGTTCCGGGCTCCCGGACGCGCTCCGCGGGGCAGCCTCGGCGCCCCGGGTCTCCCGCGGCTCCCAGCTCGCCTGCACCGCGGCCCCGGCCTCAGCCGCCTCCTCCTCCTGGGACTGCGGCCGTTGGGGCTCGCTCCTCGCCGACCCCTCTCCCTGCTGGGCGTCTCGGGGCCTCGGAGGTGGCGGCCTTCGCTCTCCGTCCGGGGCCCCAGGGCTCTGCTCGCCCGCCGCGGTCTCGGCTCCTTCCAGGAAGGTGGTGAGGCGGCGGGAGACCACGGGCGAGTACAGCGCGACGGTGCGCGGGAAGTGCACGGGCCGCGGGCCGCCGCTCGGGGGGCTGTCGTGCTCGAGGCCCCCGCGGGCCGGCTGCAGAGAGGCCGCGCCGCCCGCCGCGCCCTCGGGGCAGGGGCTGGCCGGGGGCCCGGGGTCGCGGGGCCTGCGCGGCAGCGTGCGCCGCCCCAGCGAGCACTGCACCGACACGTCGCGGCGCGGGTTCACCTGCACGGCCGCGTCCCGGCTGCTGGCTTTGCGGAGCCGCGGGGCCAGGCCGGGGCTCACCTGCGCCAGGAGGGCCATGAGCTGCGCCCGCTGGTAGTTGTCGAAATACTCCGCGGCCATCAGCTGCCCGTAGCCGGGGAAGGACGACGGGGCAGCCCCGGCCGAGGAGGAGGAGGAGGGCGCGGGAGGGTAGCCCCCGCCGCGTGGCCGCCAGCCGCCCGCGCCCGCTAAGCCCTTGCCCTTGGCGTTGGGTGGGTAAGGGTACGGGTATGAGTAGGCGGCGCAGGCTGGGTACATGTAACCGTCCTGCACCTCCTCCCCCAGGGAAGCCATGAGCGCAGCCCCAGCCGCACCAGCCTGCCGCCGGACCCTAAATAGGCGGCCCTGCGGGGGCGGCCCGGAGCCCGCCTCACTGCCGCGCCCTGCCCGCCACGGCCGGGTTCCCACGTCCCCGCCGGGAGGGCTGCTCCCTGACCACCTCGGGATGGAACTTTTCCGCACACCCGAAGATCCGCACCAACACCCTTAGATGTTCTGGAAGGAGGCTTTCCTTGCGATGCACGAACTGATTCGTCAGTGAACTTGCCAAAGGGGAAGAGAATTCCAACAAGAGAGCTAGCACCTGGATTAGTCGAGCCAGGTGGTCCCCATACCTTGATTGTCCCAGGTGTCTGCTCTGCCCAGGAAGCTGAGGCGAGGCCGCGAGCCTCTGGATAGTGAGCAAAAATGCGAAAGTTTGGGGAACTGCTTCGGTCGGTTGGCTTTGATCTCAGGTTATAGGTTACTTAATTATCTCAGAGATGCTCCGAGAAGTCTACGCATGAACCCTTTCGGCAAGTATACAGGGAAAGCACTCTGGGACACCCATGGCCAGGCCAACTGTCCCCTCTGCTGGAGCACCCCCCACCACCTCACAATCGCCCCCTTTCTAACTGGGGCCTCCAGGTAGTGTTGAGGACCCCGAGGTCCTGATAACTATTCTTCTTTGGGGAAGAGAGTAGTTCTACAAATTTTCCTAATCCAATCACCCCTCCAAAAGATAAACTGATTTGGGGTATGTTAACATAAATGCAGAAGACCAAGTCAGTCACCAGCTGGAAAGAAAATACTTGTCCACCTGAAAAATGTTGTCTGTTCATCACCAATAGATACCAGATCAAGTAAACAAATACATTAATGTATTTTTTCTGACTTGAAACAGGTTTGACACTAAAATACTATATTTTGTTTAATTGACCTGCTTTGGGGTTTTTCTAAATACAGGTCAAATTTCAACATTGTCAAGTATTCATAAGTTGAGCTAGCACACCTTTTTTGCAACAATTACATTAAATTCAATTATGCTTTACAAATATAGCTTGTTTTTTATACTAATATAAGATAGTGCACCAAAATTCTACATTTCCAAGACCCTGCTTTCTAAGAGTTTACATATTTGAAACAGTCATAGAAATTGGTAATGGTTAAAACCAAAGAGCACGTTTAACTTGTTCAGGCGTCACACTTCAGCAGTCCCAGGTGCAAGTTATAATACGACATTGATTTGTAATTTGTGAAAACACTTGGTTAATATACCAAGGCAACCTTACAATGAGATCAAAACTGTTACAAGTATGATAATGTGAACCAATTGTTATCCTTTATGTAAACCATATACACTAGCACAGACTATAAATAGGAAGTAATACTTCAGCAAGATAGAAGCTCCGTGTATCTCCATGTTTAGAGAGAAGTCTGAGTGGTTTCCATCATAATTAAGTCATCTGCTTTCACTGTGCCATAGGACGTGTCCGCCATTTCCTCTTCTTTGAGTTTCTTATAAGAAATATCTGTGTCCTCATCTTCATCTAGAGGATCTCGCTTGTGCAATATTTCACTTCCGTACATTTTATACAATAAAACAAAAATCCCCGCTTCTGCAGACTGGAAAAGGGCATAGAGCAAGGGAAACATGTACATACTCCCTATGAATCGCGGTGGAAAGGCCAGTTTGAGAATGGCAGTGCACAGCTGCACATTCTGGCTACCTGTCTCCAGGCATACAGTCCTCTTGCAGTTGGGCGGGAGATGGAAGAGAGTAGCTAAGCCGTAGCCTGAAGCGTAGCCGGCTAAAGGCATAAAAATCGCTACCATGTAAACAGTTGCAGGAATACTTGCCAGCAGTTCAGGTCCTAACATAGTGCCGGTCAATATGAACAGGACCACCAGCGTCACTAGCAGAGACCACAGGGAAACCTAGTCACAGAAAGTGGATAAACAAATCACCAAAAAGAAGATAGTTGGAAAGGAATTCAGGCAAGGAAATTCTAGCCTCTTGGAAAAGACCCAAATAGTCTGAACCTCCCACACAAAATAGAGATCTTTACGGTCAAGTCTTTGGCAGAGGCCTTTGGAGCCAGGCTGCACGGCTCTACTTGTTTAGAGGCCTGTCCTTGTGTTTAGTGACAATCTGCCTTCTCTAACCACAAGCCATTGCCATAGAAGCGACATAAACCAGCTACTCCTGCAAAACAGTTTTTAGAGGTTAATATGGGGGAGGTCACTCTTCTCCAGGACTGTCCCCAGGCTTTCAGTCAAAACTCTGTCTTGGAGTTTTGACTGTTCCGAGCACGCGCTGATTGCGTGAATGTGCCCCTTAATAACAGAGCTATTAGAATTCAGCCCAAGATACCAGGTATGATCTGATGAACAGAGTGGGCAAATGGACTCTACCTTCCCTGAACAGGACCCATGTTTCCATAAGAAATTAGCTCTAGTTTTACACATGAGATAACAGGCTATTAAAATTTATGAAAACAACTGTGATATTTTTCATCTTCAAAATACTTTATACCTCAGAGAATTGTTAGCAATATCAAAAGCAATTACTAACTCTTAGATTAAGGGAAAAATGTAAACATAAGATGTGAGGTATCTGTTGCAACTTGTAATTCCCCCTTTTCCATCTGTTCCTGAGACATCCCCCACCTGTAAGTCTCTAGTGATGCTTAGGGATTATTACAGTAGATGGATTTTTAATAGAAAACAACTGACTCTATAAAACAGCATGTCATCTTGACTGGTACATTTAATTCATTCAGAAGACAGGCTGTGTAAAATAGCAAGGTAGAAACCTAAAAATTCCTCTCGTAGTTCTTCAGACTGGTAATTAGCTTGTTATTCTAAATGGGGGCGGGGTGAGGGGTGTTTGTGAGGGAGACCACAGATCCGGAAGAACAAAGTGCTGTTTCTGGTTCCTTGCCTGTCTGGGAGGAAACCCCTTAGGGATGTGTTGGACTGGCATATATAGTACTTTGTACTCTTTAAAAAAATTAGTTAAAATTTATCTGGGCTGGTTAAAAAGTCTGCCCTAGAGGATGCTGAAATAATGATTTTATAAGGTACTCATGCTGCCAGTGTGCAATTGGCAGAAAGCAAACTATTATAAATCAAAACTTTTCTTTACATTAAATTTCAAAGTGTGACCACATCAAAAGCTTTGACAGAAAATCTGATTCTTCATTGTGCAAATATTGGCTCCAAGGTTTCCTTTGCACTATTTTAAGTCATTTGGGTGAGCACTGGCATTGAATGCTCATTTTGAAGTGTCTGCACAAGTATAAAAATGTTATAAAGTATATCCTGTGAGTGTGCTGGTTCAAGAATGGGGATAAGTTCCAGCTTAAACTCAGTTAGCCAGTCGTATTGAATTGTGTATTATTTAAGTGTATTTATCTGTTTTAGCATGGAGATAACTTATTTGATTGACTTTCTCTTAGAATCCTAAAGTTTTATAGTAAATGTCATCACATTAATAGCATTAGTTCAATGATTAAGCTTCTTAATGCATTTCCAGGTTATCTACTGATATATTAAGAATATAATATATAGCCATCACTGGTGAGTCTCAGTGGACTGAGTGCCAGCCTGCGAACCGAAGGGTTGCTGGTTTGATTCCTAGCCAGGGCACATGATGGGGTTGTGGGCCAAGTCACCAGAGGGGGGCGCACAAGAGGCAATCACACATTCATGTTTCTCTCCCTCTCTTTCTCCTTCCCTTCCTCTCTCTCTGAAAATAAATAAGTAAAATCTTTAAAAATAAAGGATATATAAAATATATGTATATTTACATGTACGTGTATATATGTTACATTCAACATATATGTTTATTATAGAACACAATTTCTTTTACCTAAGGCTGGATATATGTACAGAAAAGAACCCTCTATTGTTCATATTAATAAAAGTTAGCCCCTCTACATAATCAGATTGCTTTAGATGAATATAAGTAAAATACAAAGATTATGTCTCTTTTAAACAGACATTGGAGTGACTCTTTTTCTTTGTCTAAATTTGCACATTTTACAGTTCTTGGTTCTGCATTTTATTTGACTAACTTCCTAAAATGAGAACCCTGTTCATTGTTTACTCTTATTTACTACTGTTTGAGTTTTCAAAGAAAGCTTAATTTATAAATATTTAAATATTTCCTCCAGTCACCTATTATAAAAGCATCAGTTTTTAAAAATAAAGCAATATTGGAAACATTGCACAAAATAATAGAAATCCCCACCTGTTCACTACCTTTAGAAACCATATGAGCCCTGGGTGGGTAGCTCAGTTAGTTAGAGTGTCCACCCAATACCCCAGGGTTGCAGGTTCGATCCCTGGTCAGAGCACTTACAAGAAACAACCAATGAATGTATAAATAAATGGAATAATGAATCAATGTTTCTCTCTCTCCCTTCTCTCTAATTTTTTTTTAAAGAAGAAACTATATGAAATATTGCAGTGGGGAATTAAAAAAGAAACACGTAAATTTAGTTATAGCAATACAATTTGCATTATTTATCCATAACCTAATTTTATTTTGTGCTTTGAAGTTCATATTTTGTGCATTCTATTATATTGCCGTGATGTAATTTTTAAATTACTTTGGCCTTATTAGTGTCAACTTATTTTTAGAAAAACAACAGTCTACAGAGTTACTCAGAATTAGAGTTCCACCTTTGAAAAACAGAGCAATGCATTTTTTAAATACTGTACAAGTTCTAGTAAAATAACTTTATTTCACCTGCTTTTTTTTGGTAATACACCAGTTGTTAATGGAAAATATGTCCATTTTATGCATTGCCATCTACTTTGCACATAATGTTTCCTCCTATGAGTACTGAGTTCTCTTGTGCTGTTTTTAATAAACCTACCTTCATTAAAGCTATAATTTTTTGAAATTCAAAGGTGAAAGTTATCTTTGGGGCATGAACTTTTTTTTTAAGTTTATTCATGGAAGGGCTGCCAAATCCTTTTCTTCCTTACCCCCTTTTCCCAAACTTCCTAGCAGTTCAGCCAGATGGACTCTCTAAGTCTGTCGAGTATGTAAAGGGAAGAGTGATGTTACCTTCACGATATAGTCAGCCACCCGGTTGTATTTGTAGCGAATGAAGACGCCCAACCCAATTGGGATGAGAGTGCTACAGAGAGTCAGGGTGACTGCCCCAAGGGGTAGCAGCTGCACCAGAGGGGTGTTGATCCAAGCTCGGCTGTAGATCCACAGACACAGGGGCATCAAGACGAGGGCCAGGAGCGTGGAGGAGATGGTCATGATGATGCTGCAGAAAAGGGAAGGAACAGAGGTCAGAAAGGGCTTCGAGCCAAAGGGCCTGTCTTGCCCACGGGTAACCCTCTATCTTGCACGTTGGGTAGAGGGAGAGGTGGGAGACTGCAAGTCCCCAGGCTTGAGGTCTGGGGAGACCTGCTTCATCCCAGGGGAGTGCCAAGAGAGCTGCACGTGCAAGTCCAACTGAAACATGAACCTCGGGCAGAGAAAAAACCCCAAAACCTCAGGACCGCTGTCCCTGGCTTTGTAAACCCTGGATGACGTTGAGGGCAAGGAACATTTTTTTTCTCTTTTAATCCTTCAAAATATCCTGTTAGACACGGTAAAGCTGCTGAATACTTGTTGGATTCAACTCAATCACGTTGTCCTCTCTATGAGATTACTCTTTATGGGGACCAATCGCCCTATCCTGTTGTGCATTTCCGGAGAGTCCTGGCTTCAGGCTTCCCGGTTCTCTTTGTCTTCCAGTGGCCTGCGCGGACAGCCCAGCCCTCGGGGAGGGTGGTGAGGACTGTGCTTGCAACCCCAGGCCCCTGAGAGCAGCTGCGTCCAAGTCCAGGCCCTTGCCGGGCAACGCTACTTCTCCACCTCTGCCTTGACTTCTAAAGCCCGGGCGTTAACATCTTCCTCCACTTTTCTTCTTCCCTGTTCCCTGACTCATTCTAACAGCCTCTCCTTCCTCTCCTCTTGGTCTTGAGCCCTCTGCTGTAAACGCGGTGGGTTGGGATGAGAAAGATGCCTAAGGGACACAGTACCTGAGGTTCATGTCGCCGTCCACCAGCAGAGACATAAGGTTGGAGAGATTGCCGCCTGGACAGCAGCCACACAGGAGCACCGCCACGGCGGCCACCTCGTCCAGCGAGAAGACGAGGGCCAGCAGGAAGGCCAGCAGTGGTAGGAACCCGAACTGGCAGAGCGCGGCCAGCAGCGCGCCCACGGGCCGCCGGACGTGCGCCCCGAAGTGGTTCACGTCCACGGTGCAGCCCAGGCCCAGCATGGTGATGCACAGGGCTGCGCCCACGAACACGTTCAGCCCGTGGTTCAGCGGCGTGTCCCAGAATGGGGGCTCGTGGGGCACCCAGGGCCGAGAAAACGGGGAGGCGCCCAGGCTGACCGCGCCGCCCGCGAAGCCGCTGGTGGTGGGCTCCGGAGTCGGAGGGGAGCCGGGGCTGAAACTGACGCTGGGACCTGGCCCGAGGCTGAACCCGGGGCTGGGGCCGGCGCTGGGGCCCGCGCTGGAGGTGGGAGCGACGGAGAAGTCCGGGCCGGGGCTCAGGCTGCTGGTATTGGGCGACAGGGTGTAGTTGTCCGGCTGCAGAGAGGACGGGATGAAGAGCAGAGTGGCATTGTCGCTGTCGTTCATGGTGCTGTCGTCGGGAGGCTGCAGGTCTGGCTCCTGTCCGCGCTGCGGATTCCTGTTCCTTCTCGCCGCGCGCGCGTGCCGCCGCCCGCCCGTCCGTCCGTCCGTCGGTCAGTCAGTCTGTTTGTTTCCAAGCCTCGGCGGCTCGCCGTTGACGTCTCCGCGGCGTCGGGTGGGGCAGGTCGGTCCTAGGCTTGGCTCGGGTTCGGCCGACGCCCGCCGGCTGGCACTTAAGAGAGCGCAGCCCCGGAGGGTGAACCCAATCGCTGCGCCCCGCGCCCGGCAGGCCCCGCCCCGCCGCCAAGTCCCCTCCTTTTAATCACCAGTAAGTGGTTCTGTTAAAGTGTAGCCAGGGGCGGAACAAAGACCTGACAAAGGACAAGAAGAAGAAAAAAATGTCCCTGGCTGCTGATCAAGTTCTCTGATGGGCTCTGCCTCTTGATAATGAAATCTGGAGACCCAGGCACATAGGGAAAGAGAAAAATAACCGCTTATTTATGCACGCACAGAAACGATGTACCCGGTACAAACAGCCTGCAATCCTGACATCAGGGGGTGGCGGGTGGGGGGTGGGGGACTTGACTTAATGTCAGCGGTTCTCTGGTAGGAAGACACACTCCCTCTCTGGCTTTAATTTGCAGGCAAAATTTTTAAATTAGATTTCTCTGTAATCATACTGGCGGTCTTTGCATAAGCCGGGTCTTACGCAAGCACGAGTGCATTATTTCATTTGGTTCTCACAGCAGGCAGAGACCTGGGAGAGAGACTATTAGACCCTTTGACATACAGGGAATCTGAGGCACAGGGAAGTCTCTGCCTCATCAGCCAGACCCACAAGTTGCTGACTGAATGTGAATAGTCATTTGTCATTAGAGTGCAATGAAGAGCTGGGCTTAGAAAAGGCTCTGCGGGGGGAAAAAAATGTGTGTTTTGGAAGTTATTGGCAGACGGGGAGAGGGTATTTGATTGGTCATGGATTTATGAATGCTTTAGCTCTGGCTCTAGGATTAAAGGACTGAAAAGAAATAAAGGGGTGAGATTCTCTGCCTCAGACAGGTGTTATCCCCCAAACAAATCAAATTCTGAGTTCTCTGGAAAGGAGACTCAGCGACTTTGTTAGGCACTAGGTGCATCCATCTGCAAATGAAAGGGGCCTCCAGCTCACAGCCCGCACAGCCCTTTGAGGAGGCCGGCTGCCTGGAACGACCACAAAGAGATAGCCGGCTGCGTTGGGAAAGCCCACCTGGGACTGTGCAGGCCGAAGTCAGGATCAGGGGTTAGTCTGTGTGGAGCTAAGGCCCTGGAGTGAACTCTTCCTCCCGGGGACTTGCTCCTGCTTCCTCTCCTGCCGCCAGGGGAGACTGGGTGACTTCCACTTTTTCGTGGCGGACTGAGCCCCTGTGTTTATCGTGCTTTCTGCTCCCCAAGTCTCCTGAAAATGACAGAGACTATGAAAAATAAGACTAAATTCACAACATATTACCTTCTTTTGTTTTCTTTCCTTTTATTATTCTTGTGTATTCTATTACAGTGGCCCAGTTTTGCCCCCTCTGCCCCCCCTCTGCCCAGCCCCTCCCCACCGCACCCCCGCTCCCGCAATCAGTCCCCACACCGCTGTCCGTGTCCGCGGCTCACTCCATTCCCCCTTTTTCCACCGTTCCCCCCCTCCCCCCTCCCCTCAGGCAGCTGGCAGTCTGTTCCATATTTCCATATGTTGTATTCTTAATCACCAATAACTTAGTTCATCTCTGTGACACCATAATTTATAGGAGGGCAGTGCTGCTTGCAAGCATTTAGGAAAATAACAAACCTCATCCTTTTCCAAAACACTAACAAGAAAGCAACCGGAGTAAGTTTTCATGTAGGCTTATGTAAGCAAAAGAAACACATTTGGATACACAATGAAACGCGCTGCCCGTGCTGCTCTGGCTACGCGGGTTTATCCGGGGAGCCGTGGAGAAACAGGCCCGATAAGGAGCAGGCGCGGCCCAGCCGTGGGGGGCGATAAGCCCAGACACGCGCGGCGGAGGGCGAGCCGAAGCCCAGCAGGCAGGCGCCGCTCCTGTGTGCCCCTCCTCCTGTTAAAGATGTTCAGATCCACAATCAAATGAAACAAGCAGTAATTACAGGCAGACCCACTCATCTAAGGAGCTCCTCTCAAGGTTTGGGGAGGGATTTGGGAGGCGTTTTGTTCAAAAGGTGAAGAGTCAAAAGCAGGAAGGGATGGACTTGGTTTGTACATGAGCAGGATCACTACACGGGCTTCGCAGGGCCCGCAGACCTGTTTCTCTCCTCCGGATGGGCTTGTGGTCGATGTAAAGGGAGCAGCTGTTCTTGCCTCCTCTCCTTTCTGATCTTTCTTTCCATCACTATTCAGGAGAAAACCCCAGAATTAGGAAAACCAGCTCCTTCCCCAGGTGTGGTGATGTTGGTGAACGGCATGGGTCGCTTGGCTTCCTCGATGGTCTCCCTTTCCCTCTGGCCCGCCCAGAAGGGAGAGATGCATAGAAGGAGGGAAGACAACAGAGCGCTCGGAAAATACGCCATTTGGAGGAAAATTAACTTAGAGCCCTGTTGCACACCATATACCAGGTTCCTAAGAGGGTCTAAAATCTATTTGGAGGAATCTTTAATGACAAGGGGGAAATTCCTGTGATAAAATCTTAAGTGATAAAACAAGTTATAAAGCTATAAGCATACACATTCACTTATATTTTAGTAAATTTATAAAATGTATATAAATTTAAAGGAGCTTTTCCCAATGTATATTATATCTGAGTGCTAGTATTAAAAATGATTTTTATTTTTCCCTTTGTATTTTATGGCATTTTCCAAATTTCAGCCATAAATATATATTATAACCAGAAAACTATAACTGTTATTTTTTTTAAAAAAAATAAAAATCTAGGGGACTATTGGGCATGAAAGTCTGAACACTTCCAGTCAGCGAGGGCCTCAATATGGCTCCCAGTGCACTCGGGGGGGGGGCCCCTTAAAACCTGCGCAGGAGCACCTGGGTGGTCTGATGGGCGGGGCAAGCAAGGCGGCATATTTATGGAAGCCTTACTGGTGGAATTGCCAGATGTAGCAAATAAAAATACTGGGTGCCCAGTGAAATTTAAATTTAGGATCAAAAATAAATGAGGTATTTGGTAGGAAGTCCCAAATGTTCAGCATTTCGTCTGGCAACCTTACCTGGAGAAAGATGACGAGTGGTGGCCTCCAGTACTAAGACCCCCGCGCCGTTAGGACACACACCCTAAATCGCGGGGGACGCTCCAGCTGGGAAAAGAGGCGGTGCACAGCTTGGGTCAGGGTGCTGTCCCGGGATTGGTGAAGAGGAAACAGCGAAGCCCCACCTGGTCCCCCCGGGAACTTGGCCTGGTTCTAGGCGGAGAGGAGAGCTCAGGTTCCAAGGTCAATGTTTACAGCTAAATTGCAGTTTCATGTGAGTTGAAGAAGGATGTTGATATACAAACTATTGCTACAGCAGCAACCAACAGTTTGGGATCGAAGTGCATGTAAACTGGACGCTAACAAAAGTGGCCATGGCTCTGAAGAGGACTAGGGAGCCAGGAAGGGGGCCCCAGGGTGGGCCAGAGGAGGGGAGTAGACCCCAAAGGTGTCCGCGTGGAGGAGGATGTTGGTAAACACTCCCACCTCACATGAAACGCCTCACGCCCCTGCAGTCACTCCAGTGTGCTGACCCTCCGTTGTTTTCTCTCGGGCTCTTCCCTGTTCTCCTAGAAGACAAGCTTCCCTTTGGATGGAATCCCACCGTCAAAAATCTCTTAGCGTTAAGTCCAAATGGAAGCTGCTACCCAACTCAAGAATCCTACTTCTGAGTTGTGAGTGATTGATCAAGGGATGGCCCTCAGACCTATCTTTTTAAAAAGATTTTATTTATTTATTTTTAAGGAGGGGAGAAGGGAGGGGGAAGAGAGGGAGAGAAACATTGATGTGCAAGACATACATCGATTGGTTGTCTCCTGCATGTCCCCCAACTGGGGACCTGTCCCACAACCCAGGTGTGTGCCCTGACTGGGAATCCAACCGACAACCTTTTGGTTCACAGGCCGGCACTTAATCCACTGAGCCCCACCAGCCAGGGCCCCATCATAATACAAAATTTGGAGTAATCCTAAGCAGGGGGTAGATTTTAATGTCAGCTTGTGAGGAGAAATTCATATACAGGTAAAACTGTCCTTGAAAATCCTTTAAACACCCATAAGAGTATAATTATCTTTCTTCATGAAGGCCACGCCAACACTGCCCGCCCACCCACCGTACTGAGACGGAAGGCTCCTTCCTCGGTTGAGCAGCGGATGAAGTGGGTAGCCTGCATCTAGAGGCCATGTTATATGAAATGATGCCTTGGACCATTTCTCCTAGTTCTCAGGCCATGACAAGCTCTGGGAGCCAGGACTGGCCTCAGGAACAGCAGAGCCACGTCTCCGGGCTCACAGCGTGCCCGCGGCGCGCCCCATGGCGGTCTGCGGTCTTTCCCTTGCTTTTCTCTACTTTACTCTCATAGTTGAATTTGTGAAATTTAAACTGCATATGATGTGACTCTCAAAATGAATATTCTAAGCTCAGGGATTGATCCAGAGGGTGGAAAGCGATCCCACCCAAGCCAATTAGGGTCCTGCCCTGTGATTTCTTTTTTAAAATGAGAGCCATTCAGAAAAGCACTTGCCTCTCTTAAGAAGTTGGAAAGTTGTGAGCCCAGAAACTGATACTAACCATGGTTCCATTTTATGAAATCACCTAACCTGGGAAATGAAGCCAAAAATAAAATCCTAAACAAAGCAGATGAGAAGCAAAGAGAGAAAATGCCGGCAGCACCAAAGTCCCTGTTCAGGTCTTTCTCCAAAACACCCCTCAGCTTCCCTTTCAGCCAAGCTAGTTTAAGTTGCAGCCAGAGGAGTCACTGAATAATAAGGCCATGTTCACCAAGTGGGAAAAACTGAGCGTTCGTTATTCAGTAATTTTATGGCTCATAA